AGGGGTCAATGAAGTGGGTGGAGATCTATGAGGTTATCAAGTTCAAATCCCAGCGGAGTGGACAGAGTTATTCAGTGCCTGTGTTGGTGGGAGCCGGGAGGTAGCAGGTATCCCATGAAATTAGTCGAGGTGTGTGCAAACTGGCCAGACACCACGGTTACAAAAAAATGAATAATATGTTTGTTCTAGTGATAACTAGCATGTTATATGTGTTGTAGTCTTTATTGTCATTTATGGTGATTTTACTTGGTAATGTTATCCTCCCTCTCTGTAGTTCACCCTTCACTCGATGGTTTAGGTTTGGCTCTTAGCATGGCTTTGCCATTATACTGTGAGGTATAATTGGAAATTAGGTTGTCATATTGTAGTCTTATTGTCAATTATTGTGACGTTACCCTGTAAATCAATTTGTACTTCTCTCCCATCTGGAAAAAATTTAGTTGTGCCTCTCTCTCTCTCTCTCTGACGTCACTCGATGATTTTGGATTTGGTTCAAGCATAGTTTCACCATTATAATCTAAAGTATACAGATCATTGAAGATGATGTTAAAGCAGATGAATTATGTACAAGGAGGGAATACGCAAGATGGTTAGTTACTGCAAATACACAACTGGAAAGGTAAGTTTGAATCAACAGCATTTGTCTGGCTTGTTCTTTTGTTAGAACAAGACGACAATGTGAGTATCCTATCTAGCCTTCCTAACCATTTTCTCTTTGACTTGTAGGTGTAGAAAGCATCGGATAGTTCCATCAGTTGTGCTTTCTGGGTCTACAGTTACTGCCTTTGATGATGTGAGTGTTGAAGACCCTGATTTTGCCGCCATTCAGTGTAAGCTTGACATGTTGTTACCCAAGCGTAATATACAGCATTATTCAAAGAACTAATATTTTCAGTTTTTTCCTTACAAATTGTGATCCAGCTCTTGCTGAGGCTGGTATTATTCCTAGCAAGCTGTCAGATCGGGAGTTTGCTTCCACTCCAAATGTTTCAGAAGATCAGGGCGTCTGTTTTTTCCCCAATAGGTATTTTGATGTTTGGCTCCCCTGCCTTATCCCTTCCCTTTTTCTTGTTTTTCCCACTTCATCTCATTTCTCCCTAGTTACCATGGTATGTGCTTCTACTTAATGTTTTGCTGTTTCAGATTTTTGTCTCGCCAAGATCTAATTAGTTGGAAAGCCAAAATAGAGTATGAAGTCATGCCAGGGATAGACAAAGAGGTAGGGGAAGAGCCACGTTCCAGCGTTTATTCCAACTTTACTGACATTTTGGTGTCCTTTATCTGCCTGAATATCTGACTCTGTTTACAGTTCAGATATCAAGGAAGAATATAGGTTTTCTGGATGTGAGGGACATCAATTCTGAAGCTTTGGTGGGACTTTTTGTGGATTTACGGGCTGGTGAACGGAGTATTCTTCGGAGAGTTTTTGGTCTCTCTCTCTCTCTCTAAATAGTATACATGTTTTGTATATTCTAGCTCCTGTAATTATTTTCAGCCGACGGGCCAAAAATGAAAAAGCCCAAAAAAATATATGAGGAATTTAGTGCATACAAGACAGTCTTAAGTTCACTGAAAATATGAATTGGGAAGTTTGTTTATCGCCAATTTATTATCATTTTACAGGACAGGCGAAACGATTCCAGCCTAATAAACCATCTACAAAGGCTCAGGCAGCTGTTTCACTGACAAGTGGGAGAATGGAAGAGTATATACAAAGTGAACTGTCAAAAATTGAAGCAGAAAATTCTTCAAGACTAATGGCAATGGAAGAAATCAAGACTGTGCTTCTCGATAGAGGAGAAATACAGACGATTTGGGAGAGTAAAATGGAAGTAGAAAGAAGTCGTGGTTTCGAGGTAGAGTGGGATTATCTTGCTTCTGTTAGAGATTTAGAAGAGGAAAAGATTGTACAAGAGAATGCTCAAGCTGATCTTCTGAAGCAGAAGGCAGCTTTAGACTGTCAGAGGCAGCTACTTTCTAGTCTTAAGGAAGAGGTCGATGAGATGTCCGAAAGGCTTGCTTTTGAGAAGTCTAAGCATGTCGATGAGCAGAGTAATTTAAGTGGTACGCTTCAGGATTTGCAGGTTAAGCTTGAAGCTTTGCTTGATGCAAAATCTTTGTTGGAAGCTGAGATCGAAGCTTTGCGAAAATTGAGGTACAAATATGTTAACTTTAAGCTTTGGTTTACTTATCTGTCTTGTTATATCCTTCAGTAGGGAATGGAGTTTCAAAATGTAAGTTCAGTGAATGTTAAATAGCTCTAAGAAGTTTGACTAATCTTGTGAAGCATACATCTGCTGTATAGCGCATAGATTGCAGACACATAAGAGTGAAATATTTGTAAAAATTCGACTCTATAATATGTGGTGTTTGACAATGCATGTTTTATCGAAACAGATCATGGGTCGAGGATGAAGCGAGAAGAAGTCAAACCCGTGCTAAAGTTCTCGAGGAGGTTGGACGAAGGTGGAAATGGGAGGAACAATAAGGGTCCTATAAATGAAATAATCCAGCTGCTTTAATATACACTTTGTCAATGTCATGATCATTTTTCCTCTTAAATATTTCCTTGGCAGCAGCTTGCAAACTATTAAGAGTCGTTCATCTCTTCTCTGTCTCTCAATTAATAGTTTTGGACGAGAATCGTTGATCTTGTGTAATCTCTCACTAAAAGAAAGAAATTTCAAGAAATTGAAGAGTAAACTTTTGTTGTATTTGAAAGAATTGACTCCTCGTAGTAGTAGCGAAAGCAATGATATAAAAAAGTTAGTGTTTATGCATGAATTAATCAAACCTTTTGCGTTATTTTGCCTCTAATTATACAGTCAAACATCTTTATAACAACTTTGTTTGTTTAAATTTTTTTTGGTTGTTATAGCAAAATGCTATTATTGAGAATAAACATATTTTAAAAATTTGGTTCCGTAAAAACCTTAATTTTTATAATGAATGGTTGTTATATATAATGCTCTATAGAGAGGTCTGATTGTAGTACTAAAAAGAAACAGAATTGAGGAATTGTTGTATTGTAGGCAATTGGCATCTCTTCTCGCTTTTAGCTATAGAAAAACATCTTTGTCACAATTGATGCCTCGATTGAGACTCTTGTTGTCTCTTTGCTCAACTTTGGCCCATTCTTTGTTAAGTCAATCCATTCTCTTGTATGACTAGCCAGCTTCCACGAGCATGATTTATACTTGGATAAAAGCATATGCATCAACAAGACATAATACACATATCTTCAAGGAGAATTATATATATGTTAGTGTCTTGAATACATTAGCGGGATCTCGAAAAGAGTTATCTTTTTTGTTTAACTTGCCGATCAAGAAATCGGTCCAGTCAAAGTTAGGGTACAACAGTTGAAAGTATACTGCTCGTCGCATGGTATATGACGAGCATGGTATATGGTGCGCCCTTGGCGACCCTTGAAAATTTGAAGGACCAAGTGTCGTCTACGCCTGATTATAAAAAATAAAAATATTTAAACTTATGTTTGTATGGTGAAGAGTTTTTTGTTTCTTAGGGACAAAAGTATATCCAAATGTAACATAAGAGACAAAGAACTATGCAAAATATGCCAGAAAATGTATTTGTGTTGGGAAGTATAAAGTTATTACTAATCTGATTTATGTGGGCTAATATAGTCCATAAATAAGAATCCATATAAGCTAAGGATGAATTAAATGTCTAATTTGCTCTTTTTGCTTCTACATGACAATCTTCTTCCTTTAGCCACCCCTTAGCTCAACTGTATTGTTAACTTTAAAGCTATTTTTGTAAGTTATTGAGTATGTGAACCCCACATAATGTGGGCCCCCCCTTTAATGTAACATTTCATTTCTTGACTTATAGATATAAATCAACATTTTATTCATTTTTAGTATTGAAAAAACTAATTTTATTAGATTGAGACAGGTTTTTAAACGAAGCGATGAAATGAAAAGTAAGAAGTAAAATAGTCGATTCTAATGGTGTAATATTCCTTCCATTTCAATTTATGTGACATATTTTTCTTAATAGTCATTTCAAAAAATAATGACAAGTCTCTATATTTGAAAATTATTTAATTCTAAATTTTTTCTTTTACCCATTTAATCCTTAATGAGAAGCTTTTATAGCCACACAAATGTTATAATGCTACAAAGCTTTATGTGGGTCCCCCTTTTAATGTCACATTTAATTTCTTGACTTATACAAATCAATATTTTATTCATTTTAGTACTGAAAAAACTAATTTTATTAAATTGATACAGGTTTTTAAACGAAGCGATATGAAATGAAAAGTAAGAAGTAAAATAGTCGATTCTAATGGTGTAATATTCCTTTCATTTTAATTTATGTGACGTATTTTCCTTAATAGTCATTTTCAAAAATAATAACAGGCCTCTATATTTGAAAATTATTTAATTCTAAATTGTTTACTTTAACCTTAGCGAAAAGTTTTTATAATCACACAAATGTTATAACGCCACAAAGCTTTTACTTTTACGTTTTTAAAAATCTAATTTATTTTTAAATTTCATATTGAGTCAAACTATGTCACATAAATTGAAACGAGAGTATCTTGTAATTATTACAACAATAAAACTCGTTTAAAAGCAGTAATAGTAAAGGGCTTATCATCCTATTGACTTGTAGTGATAGAAATTGACTCTTGTGGTCTGTAATCTAAGTTCTACCTACATAATTGGAAAACCCATAAATGGACAAAATGCCATCTAATTATCTAGACAATGGCAAAGAATATAATTGGACAGCTTTCATGCATTAAAAGACAAATTTTTACTCCCAAATCTTTACCTTCAAATTCTTTTTAACTAAATTCCCTAACTAGGATAGACCTTGAGTGAGAATGGAGAAATCTTGGTTGGCACTTGTTTCATGTTCATATATTTACTGTACTATTGTCCTTTTCAGCTTAAATATTCCTCTAATATCAACAAATATGTAAGTTTTAGACCCACCCCATATTCCAGAATTTCAATCTTGTTTGGACAAAGACTGACCACTCAAGAAACTGGTGGTTCTTGTGCCCTCTATGCGTTCGACAATTTGTCTATTAGACTTTCTAGTTATCAACAACACTTTTGCAAACAACCAAACTTTTTTTTTCTTGATAAGATGATATGGCTATTGAGTTATTCATAGTGTCCACTTTTTAAAGAATTGTCTAAAACTGATAATTCTCTTTCAAGAATTGCACCATTTTTGCCTAGGCATTTTTTTCATTTTTGATGAGGCTATGGTTTGAGTTTTCAGCTATGGGGTTTGAGAAAAAATGGGCGGGGATTATTTTTTATTGTTAAATGAGTGGAAGCTTCAATATTTTCCTTTAAAATACCTACATGATCGTCAGGGTAGGTTTAGTGGTTGCTGCTTCTATAGCAGCCTATGCAGTTAAGCAGATAAATGTAAAACCCTCAAAGCCTTCGGGTAAATTTCTGTAGTCAGTTGTATTTGGACTGTTTTATTAAAATTGCAAATAAGTAAAGAGGCTGCTAAATTAGTATAATTGGTTTTAGACATATCGATAAAACGGTATCTGTAAAGTTTCAATTTTTAATGGGAAAATCATCCAAGTGAGTGACTAGAGTGTGTTTCTTGTGGCTAATTTGTGTTTATCTTATTGTTTTATGAACGTTGGTGAACAGAAAATGGTGAACCATTGCCCAAACAACGAAGCGACGAAGGGAATGAAAAGGAGGAGCAGCTTTTGTATTCTACAGATGGCCCCAAAGAAGTGGTTGTAAGTATTTGTGTATAGAGATATTTGTGTGCTTTAGAAACAATAGTTTGTTGAGTCTTTAGAAAACAATAATTTGTTAGTCATTTGGAATTTTTTTTTAATATATGACAACTTCTAGGATGAGGAAGAGGAGAAAGAAGAAGTGAAATTAATGAATGGAATTATAAATCCAGCACAGGGTAACCAGCTTGATCTTGATGATGATCTTTTCCCTGAATTTGAAGATCTTTTATCCGGGGAGATTGAATTTCCATTACCAAGTGACAAGTATGATACAGAAAGAGAAGAGAGAGAGAAGGTGTACCAAAATGAGATGGCCAACAATGAAAAAGAACTTGAAAGATTGCGAAATCTTGTTAAGGAGCTCGAGGAAAGGGAGGTGAAACTTGAAGGAGAGTTGTTGGAATATTATGGTTTGAAGGAGCAAGAATCAGATATCCTCGAGTTACAAAAGCAGCTCAGGATTAAGTCTGTAGAGATCGACATGCTTAATATCACTATAAATACTTTACAGGCCGAGAAACAAAAGCTTCAAGAGGAGGTTTTCAATGGAACTACTGCTCGGAAAGAGTTAGAAGCAGCGAGGAGCAAGATCAAGGAGTTGCAGAGGCAGATGCAGCTTGAAGCTAACCAAACGAAAGCTCAGTTGTTGTTGCTGAAACAACATGTTAGTGGACTTCAAGAAAAGGAAGAGGATGCTTTCAAGAGAGATGTTGAGGTTGACAAGAAGCTTAGACTTGTAAAGGAATTAGAAGTGGAGGTTATGGAGCTTAAGAGGAAGAACAAAGAACTTCAGCATGAAAAGAGAGAGTTGGTTATAAAATTGGATGCTGCTGAATCTAAAGTAGCAAACTTATCCAATATGACAGAGGTAAATTTAACTCCTGATACCGGTACTTTTCATGTAATTGATCTTTAGGACAATCTTTGTGTGTTTCCTGCGTATAACTTTTCTTTCTTTTTATGCATCTGCTTTCTACTTTTCAAGTCTGCAAAAATGTTTTGGAAATGTAGAGCCAACTCTGAGCACCTTATTGGCCCCCTTTTTCTGATTACTTTCCTTTTTTCGCCACAGTTATAAGTTAGTTGAGTCCGATGAATACTCCAGTGAAACATGCCCATATTATGATTTCTTGTAATTATCGTAATATTCATAGCTATGCTTTGCGGTTTATTATGCTCATTAATTTCTTCTACTTTAACTATCGTGTTGAGCTCCCACCACTTAACCATTGGAGATACTTAGCTTATGAAGAGCTTCATTTGGTGATGCGTTTGGTTGGTGTGTGAACTGATGCTATTTAATTACTGACTTGTCTTTGGCATGCTGCTTCAGAATGAAATGGTTGCCCAGGTCAGGGAAGAGGTAACTAATTTGAAGCATACAAATGAGGATCTTCTAAAACAAGTAGAAGGACTTCAAATGAACAGATTCAGTGAAGTTGAAGAGCTAGTGTATCTTCGTTGGGTCAATGCATGCTTAAGATTTGAACTTCGGAACTACCAAACACCTCAAGGAAAGGTATCAGCTCGTGATCTCAGTAAAAATCTGAGCCCAAGATCTCAACAGAAGGCCAAACAGTTAATGTTAGAATACGCAGGATCAGAACGTGGCCAAGGAGATACAGATCTTGAAAGCAATTTTTCGCAGCCATCTTCTCCCGGTAGTGAAGACTTTGATAACGCTTCTATTGACAGTTCCACAAGCAGATTTAGTGCTTTCAGTAAAAAGCCTGGCCTAATCCAGAAGTTGAAGAGATGGGGCAAAAGTAAAGACGATTCCAGTGTTTTGTCTTCACCAGCAAGATCTCTTGGGGGAGCATCTCCGGGCCGGACAAGTGTAAGTTTTAGATCAAGGGGTCCTCTGGAATCACTAATGCTCAGAAATGCAGGTGATGGTGTAGCCATCACTAGTTTTGGAACAGCTGAGCAGGAATATGATTCCCCTGAAACACCGCGGCTTCCACCGATTAGGACACAAGATTCTTCTGCTGAGCCACTGAACTCAGTTGCATCATCCTTCCAGCTAATGTCTAAATCAGTTGAAGGAGTTCTAGATGAGAAGTACCCCGCATTCAAAGATAGGCATAAGCTGGCAGTAGAGCGAGAGAATCGAATTAAGGTAAAGGCCGAGCAGGCAAGAGCAGCAAGGTTTGAGAAGTCCTTGCCCCCGAAACTTTCTCAATTGAAAGAGAAGCGAGTGTCAGTATCAGTATCAGCACCAGTGGTCTCTGCCTCTGCTGACTCAGTTGAGCAGTCCGGTGATAGCAAAACTGACTCTCAAGCAGTGAGCAAAATGAAACCAATTAATATTGAGAAAAGACCTCCTAGGACTCCTCGTCCACCTCCTACACGATCAGCAGGTGGTCCCACTCCAGCTGGTAATAATGTTACAGGTGGGGCACCTGGTGGTCCACCCCCACCACCTCCTCCGCCTGGTGCTCCACCACCGCCGCCACCACCTGGTGGAGGAGCTCCTAGACCACCTCCTCCTCCTGGATCTCTAATGAAAGGAGGAGCTGGAGGTGATAAGGTCCATCGCGCTCCTGAATTAGTTGAATTCTACCAATCATTGATGAAACGCGAGGCAAAGAAGGATACATCATCACCTTTGATATCCTCTACTTCAAACACATCAGATGCAAGAAGCAACATGATCGGGGAGATAGAGAACAGATCCACATTCCTGTTAGCTGTATGTACAACTTCTCTTTTACTCCTTTGAATAATGCATGTGCTTGTTAACCTATTCTGACTCGATGGAGACTTGTGCAAAACCAGGTGAAAGCTGATGTGGAAAGTCAAGGTGAATTTGTCGAGTCATTGGCAACTGAAGTTCGTGCTGCTTCATTTACCAATATCGAGGATCTAGTGTCGTTTGTGAACTGGCTAGATGAAGAACTCTCCTTCTTGGTATTTCCTCTTAACATTATACCTTCAAGTTCCTCTTCCGTAAATAGGACATGAATATACCTATATTCTTAATCATACTTTTATACGAAAATTGTTGCTTAAATTAATCTTGCTCGAGCGACAAGGATCATGCAGTTTCTGCATTAAATACCTGGAGCTTTCATTAATATTGTATCCCGTTGATTCTTTTCAAGGTTGATGAACGAGCTGTCCTCAAGCACTTTGACTGGCCAGAGGGAAAAGCAGATGCACTGAGAGAGGCCGCCTTTGAATATCAAGATCTAATGAAACTAGAAAAGCATGTAACCTCCTTTGTTGATGACCCAAATCTTCCATGTGATGCTGCTTTGAAAAAGATGTACAAGTTGCTTGAGAAGTAAGTCCTACTGATATCTATATCTCTTGTTTTTAAACTAGAGAATTTCGGTTAAGTAGGATGTGAAAATGGTTGAATCTTAAAACAAACTGTTTTCAGACCATATTTACACTTCCACTTATTTGGAATTGGTACCCTTTCGTTTCATATGTAGTCGTTCCTTTTTATCATTTCTGTCTTGTCTATCGCTAGCTCATTTTTTGTTACTCTTTAAGGCTTAACCCTTTAATCTTCTGGATTCCAGGGTGGAACAAAGTGTTTATGCACTATTGCGTACTCGCGATATGGCTGCATCAAGATACAGAGAATTTGGCATTCCTACTAATTGGTTGCAAGATGCAGGTGTTGTGGGCAAGGTATGTTCTCATATAGAAACTTTGCTATGTTGTTCTTTGTGAAATTGCTTGAACCACAATAATAAAAGACAAAGAAACTGGTTTAGAAAATCTTCCTTTACCAACCACATGCTTTTCCACAAATAATCACGCAAGAAAACCTTACAATGCGATGTTTTACTTCATATTACTTAGTTAGAAATTAGGAAAACTTGCCAACCTCTTTAACTAACATGTACTCCCTCTATTTCAAAAAGAACGAACCTATTTGACTGCGCATGCAGTTTAAGAAAGAATGGAAGACTTAGATATTTGTATGGCTATAAATCATCTCATTCAGGGTAAAATGAAAAGTTTAAAGTTACATTGTTTCCAAATTTAGAAAGGAGTCAATCTGTTTGAATTTTGAGAACGAATTAAAAAGGAAATAGATTCATTATTTTTTAATCGGAGGGAATAATATAATTTCACTTCATCGTACGGCCAAAAGAAGGAAAAAAAGGAAGTGTATGGAGAGATGATCCATCTATGGCTTATAAGTATCAGTGTTTTCTTCTGCAGATCAAGCTTTCATCGGTACAATTGGCGAGGAAGTACATGAAACGTGTAGCATCAGAGCTTGATGCCATGGGTGGACCTGAGAAGGAACCAAACAGAGAATTCTTGATTCTACAAGGGGTTCGTTTTGCTTTCAGAGTTCATCAGGTATATACACCATACCTGCATTTTGTTCACTTAGCAAATCTAAAAACAATACCAATCTTCTTTTAACAAATTAAACATGTTTTAGTAGAGTTACAGATTAATGAATTTACAACTTTTTCTTTTTCTTTTCAGTTTGCTGGAGGATTTGATGCTGAAAGCATGAAGGCTTTTGAAGAATTAAGGAGTCGTGTCAAAAGTTCACAAACAGAAGAGACTACACAAGAACAATGAGAATATCTGTATTTTGGTTTTGGTCATTGTAAATTTCATCATTTTCTCCAAGTATAGCAAACTTACTCTATCTTGGACATTTGTACAATTCAAAAAGGTGAATAACTCAAGGAGAGTATTAGATAACACAGATTAAATAGAGGAAAGTTGAAGGACAAACATTGTATTGGAAAAGACAGAGAAAACTACATTAATCAATGAGTGAAATTTGGAACTCCATAATCATGAATTCATGATAAGGAAAAGATGCAGTAAGTTGTCAAGATGTTGCATCATTTGTTTAAATGCAGTAAGTTGTCAAGATGCTGTATCATTTGTTCTGCTTTTGGGGAAAAAGTGAAAACCTGTCCCTCTTCTGGGGCGTAGTTGTACTAGGCAAAAATCCTCATTTCTGTGAAATTTAAGTATATTCACCCTTGCACATTTCAGGGTACAAACATTGTGCAATAGCAAAAAGAAAAGAAAAGAAACTCATAAAACTGAGTGTCCACCAGCTGCTGTGAAGTGACTCTCTGCATGCTTGTCGATGAACATGTAGGTGAAGGTTCTTGATTTCATCTGTTACCGCATTGTAATAATGAGATTTCTGTCTGCAAATTTGGCACCTCCAACCTTCCCTTGAAGTTGAGATGGTAAACGAATGACACGTCTTTGATCACCAGCCTCTACCAACAACTCAGACCCTCCTCTAAACTGCAATAACCAGAAATTCTGATTAATTTCACCTTTTAATTTGATATTAGTAGCATCCAATGAACCTACGGGAAGTCTCAAATAGGGAAACCGGAAATGGGGTTTTAGAACTCATAACGACCAGTCTAAAACAAAACACAGAATAAAAGGAGAACAACAACAATAACAACAATGAGCCTTTGGACATGTTAATAGCTTCAATTAGTCAAGGCACTATCAACTTGGATAACCTATCACAAGTTAGATCGCTTTAACCCTGCTATATTAGCAGCCAAAATCATATCATATCCTAGAATAGGAAGCTACTGATGATTGTAATCACTCAACTGCATAGTATAGTGTTTCATATAAATGTAAGCATCAGCTTAATGTTTCATTAGTCAGAGTTCTTTGCAGTTTACCCATTTGAATCACTCGATTAGCTTTAACAAACTTTAATGTGCTAGACAAGTAGGGGGACTAAACAGGTAAGCTGAGTCTTACAACCTGAAGAAACAGATCATTTTTGAGATATACCTCCCCTTTTTTTTAGCTAGAGAAGAGCTTTTTTAGTAGTTCTATCGCAAATGCTTAAAGAAATTATTGATTAGTAAGTGCTTATCCTGCTCCAGAGATTTAATAATTTTTGCTTCCCCTCAATATTTAGTGAAGAATTTCATTGCATTAAAGTTCATAAGAGGATCGCTCTTTGACATCATAGTAGACACATAATGCAAAAAGGTGAAATAAAACATAATACATACTTGATATAGCTTGATTTCCGATTTGTCAAAACCGGGCATGAGAAGTGTGACAGTTTTGTTGGCTGGATCAAAAATAACAGGAGGAATGCTGGTCTTATTAGCTGTTATAGTCAGAAGATTCCGTGCACTCTCACTACGAGTATGCTGCAAAACATTATTCCAATCCAATTGGGCTGCCGTTGAGATATGTGGAACGAAAGCAGAAGGCAAAGGTGAAAAGTCATTAATCGTCGCTCCTAGTTCTCCACTTGAATTTGGCGATGCAAGAGCAAATGCACCAGAAACCTGTGCACCAGCCTGGATTATGCAGCCCCAGTAACGTAAAGCACAAGCCAAAGACGCAGGGCTATTACGATCGACCACAAGATAGCAACCAAATTTTTTCGGTTCTGCAAATATTGTAGACCCTCTCTGCAGCATGCAAAACCAATAAAACCTTTAGTTCAAAATAGACGGCATCTTGAAACAGATCGGTAGCTGGCATACCTCCAATACTTGTTCTAGAAAGTCCCAAATTTCTGAACTCGTTTTCCCATTCAGATTAAGACTTCTACCGCTTAGAGTCATGGCTTCGTCTACAAGTCTCAAAAGAGAGGGACTTGCCAGCCTTCCCAAATCAGTTTTCTCAGCTACGTTGCGGAGATATCTTAAGTATAATCTGTGCATGGAAATAAAGATATGATATGCCACATCGGTTTTGGCATATATGCATATAACAAGTCTTGAGATGACCTAACCTTGCTTTGCTGGTCGCACCAATCATCCTTATCGTTTCTTCAGTACTCATGCCATCATATATAATAATGTCAAATTTCTCTTTTTTGCTATTCTGTTGAACGACATTTACGAAAAACCCAACAAGCCGCTCGAGTGCGAGGGACGAAAATATGGAATCCATTCCAGGAAGTACTCCGAGCTCTTCTCCGAACACCTACTACATTTTGAAAAAAGTTACTTAAAGAGTTACTCATCCATTTTCTGGCAAAAGAATGGCAGATTATTGCACCACTGAGTTACACACCCACCCCTTCAAGAACTCCTTGAGTCATATTAAGACGAGCATCCGCTTGCTTCAGTTTATTGAGAGGTTCAAGGAGCATCTGCAATTACTGATGATAAATGAATCTCAACCAAATGAATAATCTCAAAATTGCAGGAAGACAGGTGAAGTAGGGATTAAAGAAGAACAGACTTTTGTAGTTTCCAATCTAACAGCTGAGAGGTAGTCGTTGCATGTTACTGGCGTTGTCCCAATCTTACAATTCAGAAGATATTCTGCTGTAGGATCTTGAGAATGTATCACCAAGCATGTTTTGAGCCCTGCCATCGCATAATGCTGGTAAGAAAAAGAACATGGCTAGTTAGTCTACCTAACTTTATCATATTCAAGAGACTCATGATTCCTGATATGATACATCATTAGTTAAGGTTGTACAAGGAAAAAGGACAGCAGCTGATTCAGGGACTGATATGGATTGTCTCTTATTTTTATGTGTGTATACTAGATGAAAACATAATAACATCGCAGAACAGACAGTTGATATTGAAAGAAAAAAACAATACAATTTGTGCAGATAATGCCGAGATAACAAACTGCTAAATAGGACATGCTGTTAAAATTTATAGGGGAAAATAGAGCCAGAGACTCAGTGATTAATGAATATTGTGTAACTAACTTGCATGAGCACGAAATGAAAGTTTCATCATCACATACAGAAGAGAGAGCAGCAAAAGCTATTGCTTCTAATGAACCAAATCATGAAAGTCACTATGATGAAACATAATGACTTATTCTTCTATTCTGAGCCTTTGTTGAATATACTCTGTCACAAACCTCATAAATCACAGCTTAGCTCCGGTAAAAGAAGTATTAGAGTCAACAAAAAAACTCAATCTTTTCATAGTTTTGATTAAAATTCAGTTGCCTTGCTCTTTAAAACAAGTAATAGACAAAAGTATTCAACTCCAAAACTAAATATTCTTACAATAGTGAGACTAAATGCATTTAACAACTCTAATCATGAGTGCACGAATGGCTAATTGGAGTGCGGAAATTAAGCTTTAAGCCCTTCGACTTACATTTATAAGAAGAAGAATCAGAGGATGTTCTCGCTCTGACAAGAAAATCCAACATATCCCAATTTTTATTTCTTTCACAATTCAAATCTTTCTCCTGATATAGCACTCAAAATTTGTGTACAAGTCTTGACCTTAAAACTCAACAAAAACTTGAATTTACAGTTTACTCAATTACTTCGCTAAGTCGAATACACCATAAATATTGGGGAATCTACTGTTTTTATGTCACCCAATTCAATCAAAAAACCATAAGCCCTTCTTCTAGCAAATTTTATACTCCATATACAATTTCTACAGAGAGAAAACGAAAGCATTCTTTATCTTATGTATCTGCCAAACAAGCAATTTTTGCCCTCTCACACAAAGCCAAGGTTAATTTAAAAAGCATTAATACAACCTCACTTTTATAACAATAAGATAACATCAATGCTTATAAAAGATAGAACAGAGCAAAAAGATTGAATCTTTAAAGCAAAATTATGTACTAAAAATAACATCTCCATCTAATGCTTATAAAAAATAGAAGAGAGCAAAAAGACTGAATATTTATAGAAAAATTATATAGTAAAGATAACATTCCCATCTAATTCTTATAAAAGATAGAAGCAAGCAAAAAAGATTGAATCTTTAAAGAAAAATTATATAGTAAAGATAAAATTCCTATCTAATGCATATAAAAGATTAGATCTTTAAAGCAAAATAATATAGCAAAGATTAAATTTCTATCTAATGCTATAAAAAATTGAATCTTTAGAGCAAAATTACATACAAAGTAAAGATAACATTCCTATCTAATGCATATAAAAGATTAAATCTTTAAAGCAAAATAATATACTCCAGTAAAGATAAAATTTCTATCTAATGCTTATAAAAGATTGAATCTTTAGAGCAAAATTATATACATAGTAAAGATAACATTCCTATCTAATTCTTATAAAAGATAGAATTAAGCAAAAAAATTGAATCTTTAAAGCAAAATTAAGTAAATAATTGATGAACCTGAGCAGCAAAAATGGCAGAAGTGGTTTTCCCAGAACCCCCTTTACCTAAAAAGGTAATTAGCTTAGTGGGGTTTTCATTATTATCTGAATTAGCACTAGCCATGGCCAAAATTTCCATTCTTGTTTTCCTCCTACTTGGTTTGGCTGTAGATTTTATCGGTACTAGCTGAGTGAAAAAATCAGAAGATGGGTACTTTTGAGTGGAAAATGAGGATATTGTTAAGATTTGCATAGTGAAACTGGACATTTTTCTATGGTCTAAGATGTGAATTAGACTAGCAAGATTTAAGTATTAGCAATTGAGACAAGTTTGGCCTGAGAGTACTGTTGAGACTTGAGAGCTGGAAGGCGCAGTTGATTACGCTATTTTTGTGCTTTCAAAATTTTCTCACATTGGTCCTTAGCTGCATTAAGTTCCCCCTAGTACGAGGTCCGGAAGGATAGGACAACAAAAATTTACTATACACAGCTTTACCTTATATATTTTGCTAGAAGCTGTTTTCACGGCTTTAACTCATGATTTGCCGATCACATAGCAACAACGTTACCATTTACCCTAATGGTAGCCTTGCTGTAAATAATAATTTGGTTCTTATTATAACTATTAGTAACAAAATTCAGCACCTTTTTTAACAAAAAATTATTTCTGCTTAATATTGAGCCAGCATTAAACATCATTTCATTTCGGCCAAATTAGGTTGTTCTTATTGGAGTTAGAGAAATAACGAGAAAATTCTTGTTGACGTGTTTCTAATGGCAGTCTAATATCACAAATCAACTCATTAATTTAAATTATTGCTTGTTGAAGTATTAGGGTCGTTTGGTTAGGAAATAAGTTATTCCATGATTAATTATTCCGGGATTAGTTATCACATTCTTTCATGAGGATAAAAACACTATAATCCCGGGATAACTTATTCCGTGATTAGTTATACCATGATTTTATCCCAACCAAACGTGGGATAAACTCATATCAAATTTAATCTCGGGATTAATTATCCCTTATCTCTCGTACCAAACGAGCCCTTAGTTTTTAACACTACATTACTTTTATCCTGTTCAAAAGACACCACATGTTAATTATCCATTAACATGATAAATACGTATATTGGAAAAGTACAGTCTTTGAATTTGATTAGTTACAATTAATCATTCAATCGACTTGCCTCAGTATCATATAAGTTGGAGTTAATTATGTGAGGCCTAAGAATGCCTTAGCTGAACTTATTTCACTTTATTTAATGGATAATTTGTCTTTTAAAGTAAACTAGAGATTATTTGTCTTTTGATGTTTGATGTTAGATTTACCTAATTCTCTATGAATATTTCCAATCATCACTAGTTACGTGAAGGAATTATATATTAAATCTTTTCTCTCCGATCCTACTCTCAATTTGAAACTAGTACGGTCCATTGCAATAATAAACCCAAGGTTGGGGTCGATCCCACGAGAAGTATGGAGTGTGCTAGAATGTCAAAGAGAGTATGTGAATTCAATGAACTTAAAATAATCTTCAAATAAAAGATGGATTTTCTGCAATTACTTCTAAAATTATGACTACGAAATTTGATCAAACACTTAAATGCGAAAATAATTAGAGAGTAGTAATCAATGAGGGAAAGACTACGGTTGCTCATCCTTCGTGTATGCTATGCTATGGGTATAGATATATTCGATTCCAATCAATCAAACATGTGTTATGACAATAATATCGATGATACCAACTTAGTATTTTCACCACTAAGAGGTTTTTACTCACAAATGCCTTTCCAAGCTATTTACAATTGTATGCAATACAATTGTTCACGACCAAGTAAGAATCTCCCTATTCCTAGTTTGATTCCATTAATTGAGAAGAGATTAATTCCTTAATCTATCCAATTCCTTGCAATTGCTTCATACCTAAACTTGGTTCAACTTTTTCAACTTAGAACTAAGTGTGATAGGCGTTAATCTAGTGTTTGCAACCACCAAATTATACAAGAAAGCATGGAGCAATTAGATAACACAATATTTAGTCATAGACGAATCTATATTAATAACCCATAGTCATAACACCACTCCGGATTCACAATCCTAGCTAATGAGTTTAGCTAGACATGACAATAGAAGAAACAATCAAATTATCTGATAGTTTATATGGGTCCACCAAACTACAGAGAGACCAGGTCCTCTATGAGTTTCCACTGAGAACGCTAATGAAACAATAAGTAAGTAAGACAGGGAGTTTTACGTGGAAAAATCCCTGCTCAAGGGGATAAAAAAACCACGACCTACACTGGTAGAATTTCAACTTCACTATGAGCAACTTTAGATTATAACCTATGCAATCTAGGAATTAAACTCTTAATCCCTCACTAACTTATAATACACCTATTACAAGCCACTTTGCAATACACCTATTACAAAGACTTCAACTCATGACTAACTCTAGTCACGACACAAACACTAAAGGTTTATGGTTTTACAAGGGGTTCCTAAGCAACGCTTCTAGATAAGCAAAGTAGGAATTACAATGAAGAACAATTACAAAGTTACAACTCAACTAAGGACAACAAGATACTAGATTTAGGAACTGGTCCGTAGTAGTGTTAAACTTTGTTCTTGATGCACTTGAGAATTGAATGCTCGAATATCAGATGGCTTCAATGCTTGGAGAGAATTCTCAAGTGTTCAAGTAATGTTTTGTTGTAATAAACTAGTTAATACAACTTGGATGACATCACTTGAATTATGTAATCACTTGGTTGGTCAAAGGACAAGTGACTGCAGAACTGTGCTGCACTGTTTCTGTGTACAATGCAGGCAGTCACTTTCCAGCTGTACAGAGCTGACTTCGTACTGCTGTCAGGGAAACACAAGGGTATCAGGTCCCTGTGTTGATTCTCTATCTTCTGAAGTTGTAGCAGTTCACATTAGCTAGAGTCCGTTGATTTGCGATGTGTACCAAGTGTGTCAGGTTCCTTATCGGGTTCTTTGACAGTAAGTTTGTTAGATCATCAAAACATAAAGTTAAGACATTGAAAACCCATCATTATCCTTTAATCCTGTCATTGATACTAATAGGAAAGAAGAAGATTGAGAAACCCTGATGTCTTGTTAACCCTTAGGAAAACTTACAGTCGCTCATACAATATTCGTCTCTGTCAAAAGTTCTCAAAAAAGACCTAAAAAGTACTATTTTTACTCTTCTAAAAAGTTGACAAAATTATCCTCTTAGGGTCTTGCGTTGCCAAGTTGCGTGGCCCACGCAGGATGCGTAACCCAATACTCTATTTCTTCATATCTCAGTGCGTGGCCAAGATGCGTGGCCACTTCCAGAACTTAAACTTCTAGCTTCCAAGTTCTCCAACTTCGTGGGTGACCTGCGTGGGTGACTTGTGTGGCCCACGTAGGATGGACTTTTGTTTCTTTAGCTTTATTCTTTAGTTTTGGCCTAAATTTCATGGTTTTTTGCAGGAATTTGATGATTTTCAATTTCTTAATTCTCACCCAACTCCATGACCTGCAATTATATCACTCAAAACATAATTAGTTCATTAATCGCATGAACTGGGGCATAACTCTGTTAAGAGGAATAAGAGAAGTTGGGAAAAATACCAACTTATCAACTTCCCAAAACTTACTCTTTGCTTGCCCTAAAGCAAATCAAAACACAAGTCAGACTCATAAGAACAACTAGACAATCAAGCTAGCAACAAAATTCAGCATTCAGCCACAACCTAATTCCAAGCATAAAACTCACAACTTCGGTTGGTACCAATAATTAATCCAAAGCATATGAATCATCACATCTTTCCAGAAATCTCAATTTTAATTCAAGTGCTCAAATACTACCAATCAAAGCAACAATCAAAGTCATGACATGTCACGACCAGGATTTCCCTTCGTCGGGACTATGATGGCGCCTAACATCGCACTCGCTAGGCGAGCCAACGTTAGAAATCCATTCACCTTTTCCTTTATATTTTATAAGTTAAAATTAAAAAAACTAAACCAAACTGAAATAAATGCGGAAATACATAATAATCCGGCCATCTATATACTATTAACAATACCGAAACTGTTACCACCCAGAAACTGATGTCACAATCCACGAACATACTACGAATTACTATAAATACTGGTCTGAAAGAAAGTACATTTGTCTCGAAAGAAAAGAAAACAGGAAAATAGAAACATAGGAGGGGACGCCAGGGCCTGCGGATGCCAGCAGGATTACCTTGGGTCTCCTGGATGAAGTATCTGCAACCGACCTCTCGATCAGCCACTACCAACTCCGAAATTTGCACAGTAAGTGCAGACTGCAGTATCAGAACAACCAACCCCATGTACTGGTAAGTGCCGAGCCTAACCTCGACGAGGTAGTGACGAGGCTACGACGGGGCATTTACAGTATAACCTACATACAGTATATAATAAAGCAAAAAGGAAGTACGGAACGAAATGGAACAATAACTTGCAGTAGATAAATACGGAACTCTATTATCTTGGCAGACTCAGCTATAACCAATCCTTAAGAGAGTTACAATGCTACAGAATAAAATCACAGCAGAAGAAGAATACATAAACAACAAAATGAAGCGGCGCGCATCCCGATCCCACCATATAATCAGTAACAATATGAACATTCACCCTTATTACTCCTGTTGTGGCGTGCAACCCGATCCCACTAGTTCACCCTTATTGCTGCTCAATATATCAACCTTATTCCTCCAGTTGCAGCGTGCAACCCGATCCCACATGTCCACCCTTATTACTCCTGTTGCGGCGCGCAACCCAATCCCACCAGACAATCACATTTCACCCTTATTCCTCCTCAATATATCACCCTTATTCCTCCTATTGCGGCGTGCAACCCGATCCCACCATATCAGTACCAATCACACAATAAGAACAAGTATTTCACAATTTAGCTCAAACCCTCCACAATATTTATGCCTCAAACCAAAGCAAACGGAAATCTATACAATTATGAAACTTCATCAATTAATACTACACAGCGAGACTAATCAAAATGTACCATGAAGCACCGATAAACCAAATTAAACCAATAATGTGAACAATGAACCACAGAACAGTTAATACCTTCAACAAAGAAAAACAACATCTAACAAGAAGAAATTAAACATGGAAGCATCAATAAACATGTAGCAGTTAAGACAGGAAAACAATATATTAGGGACGAGGAAGGGAACGGGCTAAACAGATAATTTGACGGCGCATAGGTACTCGTCACCTCACCTATACTCCACACACATGGATTTTCACATAGAAATTAAGTCGGGGATCCCTAATCCCTCAAGTCAAAGTTAGACACAACACTTACCTCGATCCGACGGCCAACTCAAAGCTCAATTACCGCTTTTCCTCTAGATTTCAGCTCCAATCCACTCGTATCTAGTCATAATTAACTTAATAACATAAATTATTGCTAAAGAAGTCAATTCAAATGCATAACTATAGGTTTCCCAATATTTTCCCCAAAAAGTCAAAAAACCGACCCCGTGCCCGCTTGGTCAAAACTCGAGGTTCGGACCAAAACCCATTCACCCATTCACCCTGAGCCCAATTATGTAATTAGTTTCGGAATCCAAACCCAATCGAGGTCTAAATTCCCAAATTTGCAAAATCCCCAATTCTTCCTAAATTCCCTAATTCTACCATGAAAAAATAAGATTTAGGGCTGGAAATCTAATGGGTGTTGATGGAAATTGAAGAAAATGAGTTAAGAACACAAACCTATGATTTGGTGGTGAAATTCCTCTTCAAAAATCGCCCTAGGTCGAGTTCTAGTGAAGAAGATGTGAAATTTTGAAGAAATCCCGACTTAGGTTCATTTTTAAAATCACTGGACAAGTCTTCATCGCGTTCGCAAGAGACCTGTCGCGATCGTGATGCACTGCGGAAAAAATGGCCTTTGCATTCGCGAAGAGATGTTTGCGTTCGCGATGGTCTGTCCCCCCTGATCATCGCATTCGCGGGCCTAGGACCGCGTTCGCGAAGAATAACTCATGACATTCCTCGCCCACCTCCAATACACTATGTGTTCGCGTAAGGCCGGTCGCGTTCGCGAAGAGCTAACCCCCCCAGTGCTCCGCGTTCGCGATCGAAGCCTCGCATTCGCGTAGAAGAAATCCCTCCCCAGCCCAGCTTGCACTTCGCCTTCGCGAGAGTTGCTACGCGAACGCGAAGCACAAAATATCAGCATACCAGAAGCAGCAAACACATCAGATTTTCTAAGTGCAAATCATCCCGTAGCCTATCCAAAACTCACCCGAGACCTCGGGGCTCCAAACCAAACATGCACAGGAGTCTTAAAACATCATACGAACTTGCTCGCGTAATCAAATCGCCAAAATAACACCTAGGACTACGAATTTAGCACTAAATTGCATGAAATTTTCTAGAAAGTTCAAAAGTTCTATTTTCTCAACCAAAGGTCCAAATCACGTCAAATCAGTCTCGTTTCTCACCAAATTTCACAGATGATGTATAAATATCATAACAGCTTGTACCGAGTTTCGGAACCACAACATGGATCCGGTATCAATAAGATCAATTACTAACCAGATTCTTAAAACCTTTAAAATTTCAGTTTTACAATTTTCATCAAAAAATTATTTCTCGGGCTAGGGATCTCGGAATTCGATTCCGGGCATACGCCCAGGTCCCATATTTTACTACGGACCCACCGGGACCGTCAGAACATGGGTTCGGGCCCGTTTATCCAAAATATTGATGGAAGTCAACAAAAATCAACTTTTTAGGCCAAAAATTATTATTTTCTCAATTTTTTACATAAAAGCTTTTCGGATACACGCTCGAACTGCGCACGCAAATCGTGGAGAGATAAAATGAGGTTTTTAAGGCCTCGAAATATAGAATCGAGTTCTAAAACAGAAGATGACCTTTTGGGTCATCACATGACATCAAAGCCTCTAAATTTGCCTCTTCATCACAAAATAACTTTCTTTCGCTCATTTATCCTAATTGGAAAAAGAAACAAATTCTCAACTCGAGTTTCCATGTGCTCTCACAATCAACAGAGAATCCCACACACATACTATGTCTTTAACAAGAGTGGGATAACAAGTAGAAAGAATTAAGCACTCCCTCTCACAAAGATGTTGAACTGCTCAAAAGTGGAACCAAAGGCTTGCCTTTCGTGTAAATCTCCACTAATGTAGGTGCACCTAGTTCAAAATTATTTAGGACTTGTGGGAATATAATGTAGTATTTTAGTTAGACGTAGGATATCAATATAGATAAGATGTGACTACAACCTTCCTAAGCACTACAATTCAACACTTCAAAACACTTTCTAATCAAAATTTTATTATTTTGCTCCTTTATGAACTTTAACACCGTGCCAATATTTTTTTATTTCACAAATACTTTATTTTTTTAATAAAAATATATACACTTTTGTCAATATGTTAAAGTCATCGCCTTCAATCATTTAGCTTCCACAATAAACTTTTCTCATCAACTCCCCCAAACTTATGCTAAAAGCCTAAGTTGTAGCTTCAAGTGCTCAAGAAGGTCGGCGCATCAAAAGAGGTCAATACAAAAAGGGAAAAGGTTTGTAATGTGGTTGCCGAATAAAAAGCTAAAGGCTCAAGGGGGTTGACTAGGGTAAACTTGCAAAGGGTGAAAATTTTAAGGTACAAGCGCTCCAATGAAAGCCTAAAATCACTTTTCAAACTAAGTGCAACCTAAGATTTTGCTTTGATACACACTTAGGGCAAGTTCTAGACCACAAAAGAAGCAAGAGAACTCAACAAGAACCTTTCCACTCATGGCACATGCAACACTCAATGCGAGAATGTATTCAAGGTCCAATTAAAGCAAATGAACTCAAAAAGTCATACATAGCCTAAAAGACTATTTAGTGAATTAAAGAGCCAAAGATCGAACCTAAAAGTCACAACAAATATCATTACTTCAATCTCTTTTTTTTTTAACTCCCAACAATTCATATGCTAAGGTTTAATTTGTATTGGTACCATACAAGACATAAGTTGGCTAGGGTACAAGAAGACTACCACCAACACTAATTTATTAACTACCAGCTACTACTAAAAATATATAAAGATACCCGGTTCAAAAATTATAACTTTGGGAAAGAGCCATGGCAAAGAAAACCCAAAGTGGTCATTGCTAACTACTAGAAAACATAAAAATATGAACTAAAAGCAGTACCTACAATCATGAATGCCCTCCCTAAAACGCAAAATTTGCATTGTCCTCAATGTAATCAAAATAAGAGTAAGGGAAAAGGTAAAGAGAACTCCCTCGATCCAAGCGCGGTGGTGACCAACAATTCTGATGGGTACTCAGACTTTTCCCCATTTATCACCAACAAATTCAGCTCTCCTCTTCAAATACCCAACCTGTTCAAATTGTAACACCAAAATATATCAAAGTAACATATAAAAGTAATGCTAATTTACTGAAAAAAGAAAAGAAACAATAATGAATTAAAGCAGACAACTTGGGTTGCCTCTAAGAAGCGTCTTATTTAACGTCGGGGCACGACGCAACAACAACCAACTTCACGATTCCATTGGGGTTTCCCCATCTAAATTCCTGGCACTATTTTTTCTCTATCAGTTTCACCAAAATGGCGTCGAAGTCTTTGCCCATTCACTTTGACTATTTTCATACAATCTTCCGATCCCAAATTCACGACACCAAATGGGTATACATTAAAAACTTTGAATGATCTGCACCATATCGATTGAAGCTTTCCTACCAACAATTTGAACCTTGAATTGTAAAGAAGAACCATATCCCTCGGGTAAAACTCTTTCTTCTGATTTTCTTATGGTAGAGGTATTTTTTTCTCCACTTGTACAATGATACCTTATCATAGGGTTGGAATCGCTGCTTGTTCATGGGGTAATTATTTAAATTAGGAAAACCGTCCTCAAGGATTCATCTTGACACATTTCTTGCATATCCTCATCTACCATTTCATCTACTGTATCAGTCACAGAGATCAGTACATAGTCATGCAATTGCTTCATTGACTTCTGGATATGGAAGATTTCTTCTTCATCATTCAAACGAAATTTCAGTTCTCCTGCTTCCCCATCACAAATGGCCCTCCCCGTAGCCAAAAATAGTCTACCAAGTATGATAGGGACCTCTCTATCCACTACGCAATCCAATATCACAAAGTCGGCTGGAAAGTAGAAATGACCCACCTTGACAAGAATGTCAAAAATGACCCCCAACAACTTTTTCAGAGTTCGATCTGCCATAAGAAGCTTCATAGAAGTAGACCTTGGATCACCCAAACCAAATTTCTTGAACACATCATAAGGTATTAGATTAATACTTGCCCCCAAGTCACACAATATTTTGGTGAAGCTTGTCACACCGATAGTACAAGGGATAGTGAATGCCCCCGGATCCTCCATCTTTTTCTCGGCCTGTGAAATGATTGCACTGCACTGATGTGTCACTTTGACTGTCTCAAAGTTGACATTTTTATTCTTGGTGACCAAGTCTTTCATGAACTTGGCATACCCTGGCATTTTCTCTAGTGCCTCCACAAAATGCATAGTAATAGTGATCTGGTTCAGCATGTCATAGAATTTCTACAACTGTCCCTCTTTCTGTTGTTTGAAAAACCTTTGTGGATAAGGAAGATGTGGCCTAGGTAGCTGCTTGTAGGACTTAGGAGCCTCCTTAGTTGCTTCTTTGATTACTTCACTTTCTTTGGGAGGTATATCGATCACATCTTGAAGAGAACTAGGTGCTTGTTGTATCTCTTCAACCACATTTGGCTCTACTACCGGTACATCGACTTTAGGAGGGTCAGCAACTCTAGGAGGTGTAATCTCCTCTTCTTCATCATCTTCAATCAAAATGATTATTTCTTTAAGGACTTGACTACTCCTTGTGGTAATTGCAATGATGTGACCTATATCCTCATTCCCCTTTGGATTTGTAGCAGTATCACTTGGCAATGCTCCACGTGGCCTCACATTCAGTTGAGATGAATTTTGTCCCAATTGATTCTCAATCTTCTTGATTGACATGGTATAAGAACTGACCACTTGATTCATTTCTCTCCTTTCTTTGTCAGACTGCTCCTGATTTTTAATCATTCTCTCCATTATACCTCTTAGCTCGGGATGAGAATTGCCCTTGACTGTTGTAGGGCCTTTGTTGGTTGTAGTTCTGAGATGGACCTCTATTGCGATTTCCTTGATTATTGTTGTTCCAGCCTTGATTGCCTTAGATGGACTAATCCGAACTTTGCCAGTGATTTCCATGTCTCTATTGTCCTTGGTTGTTAGACCTTTGTTGACCTCCTTGATAGTTACCCATATGTTGAGCTCCCTCATTTTGCATTTGGTAACACTGTTATTGGAATTCACCTTCTTAATTTGATCATTGGGACAAATAAATGCCCTTTTGAATTGGTTACACATTGTTGTTTGATTAAAACCCGAACCTTAAACATTGTCCATAGCATTAACTTGCCTTGGCATTTGGCTCTTGGCTAGCAGCTTCAAGGTTGTTGTCAATTCTGTAATTTGTTCTCCTTGAGCTTCCATTTTCCTAGTCAAGCTTACCATAGATGGATCCCCTTAGGGCACATTGGCTCTAGATTTCCAAGCGGCTAATGTGTCGGCCATTTCATCCAATATGTCATCAGCTTCTTGATAATAGAGGTGGGCATAAAATCCGAAAAACCGAAGAACCGAATCAAACCGAATTAATTCGGTATTTCGGTATCGGTTCTTCGGTTATTTGGTATTAATTCGGTACGAAATTTTTTATTGTTTAGTACTTCGGTACGGATTCGGTATCAAGTTTTGATTTTTCGGTATTTCGATATACCGAAATACCAAAATATTTCATATAACTGTAACTATAACTATAAGCCCAACCGGTCAACCCGAATTACCCAACCTTATAATGCGTACTCCAGTGACTAATAATAATAAAAATAAGCCCAAGCCCAACTCCAACTCAAGTCAGATGCTATGAGACATCTACTATTCACATATTACTGCGCTTGTACTTGCAATATGTTCTCAAACCAATATATTTCCTGGTTTTCTGTTTTATCTTTAAGATTTTATATTAATGTTCCTCTTATGATTTTCTTATTTCCACAGGGAGTCTGTAACGAGTTATTGGTAAGCAGAAGAGAAGGCGACTGTTGCACAAATGCTAAGTGCAAGTGCTGGCGCCATTTTCTAAAGGATTTCGTGGTTAAGGAACAAATTACCAATGGAGAAGGACGAGTTGAAAGCGTTCAATTTCCTATTTACTTGGCAATTCTTTAGTTAGCCCACTTGTGACTACACTCGTGTGTCTACTTCTCTTTGTTTTTACTAGATGAGTTTTGGTCCACATACGCTTAGCAAATATTGTAAATTAGAATTTTATTTATTTAATACTTTGAAGTTCGGACGTAGGATCTAGGGGTGGTCCAAAAAATCGAATAAACGGATCAAACTGAATTAATTTGGTATGATACCGAAGCGGTAACGAACCAAACAAGAAAAAAAACTGAACCGTACCGAACTATTTTGATACGATATTTGGTATGCACAATTGGTATACCAAATACCGAAGTACCGAACCGAAGTTTTTAAATACCATACCGAAGTACCGAATACCCACCCCTACTTGATAAGTCTTGTTCATTATATTTCCCCCAGCCAATTGGTTTACATAGGTGTGATTGGTGGTATTAAGACCGCGGTAGAATGATTGCAATAGCATGTTGTCAGTTATGTCATTGTTTGGACATTCCTTAATAATTCCACGATATCTCTCCCATATTTCATGTAATGCCTCCGTGGGAAGTTGTCTAAACCCCAAAATTTCATCTCTCAGTATGGCCATTCTCTCCTATGGAAAATATTTGCCCGAGAACTTCTTCACAAGTTCGTCCCATGAGTGAATTGAGTGATTTTAAACTCCAACCAATCTAAAGCTTTCTCTCTCAATGAGAACAAAAATAACCTCAATTGCACTACTTCATCCGAGACATTTGATTGCTTGTTCATTTGGCACACATCGATGAAGTGCTTGAGATGTTTGTTGGAATTTTGATTGGGGTCTCCTGTGAGATACCCTCTATCTTGAAGCATGTTAATCATCACACTAGTGATTGTGAAGGTACCCCTTTATCCTTGGGTGGTACAATCACACTAGCATATCCTCGATTTCACACCGCTTCTGATGGATCTTGTTGTTAAAGCGGTTTCCGTTGGTTTTGATTTGCTGCTCGGTGTGCACGGGGTGCTTCCTCGATAAGACCTAAAGGCATATCGCCAAGATCTTCTTCCGCCATCACAATCTACACCAAAAGCAAACGAATCAAATTAACAACGAAGAAAAGATAAGAACTCGAATAAACACACAATATCGCGGTAACACAAGAACATCGTACTCCCCGACAACATCGCCAAAAATTTGTCTTGTCCAATCCTACTCTCAATTTGAAAGTAGTACGGTCGATTGCAATAATAAATCCAACAAGGTTGGGGTCGATCCCACGAGAAGTATGGTGTGTGCTAGAATGTCAAAGAGTGTAAATTCAATGAACTTAACGTAATTTTCAAATAAAAGATTGATTTTCTACAATTACTTCTAAGGATATGACTGTGAAATTTAATCAAACACTTAGAATGCAAATATAATTAGAGAGTAGTAATCAGTGAGAAAAAGCATTAGGGTTGTTCATCCTTCGTATATGTTATGCTATAGGTATAGATTTATTCGATTACAATCAATCAAACATGTGTTATGACAATAATATCAATAATACCAACTTAGTATTTTCCAACACTAAGAGGTTTTTACTCACAAATGCCTTTTCAAGCTATTAAGAGCTGTATGCAATACAAATGTTGATGACCAAGTAAGAATCTCCCTATTCCTAGTTTGATTCCATTAATTGAGATGTGATTAATTCCTTAATCTACCCAATTCCTTGCTAATTGCTTTATACCTAAACTTGATTTCACTTTTCCAAGTTAGAACTAAGTGTGATAGGCGTTAATCTAGTGTTTGCAACCACCAAATTATACAAGAAAGCACGGAGCAATTAGATAACACAATATTTAATCATAGACGAATCTATATTAATAACCTATAGTCATAACACCACTCCGGATTCACAACCCTAGCTAATGAGTTAGCTAGACATGACAACAGAAAAAATAATCAAATTATCCTTTAATCCTATCATTGATACTAATAGAGAAGAAGAAAATTGAGAAACCGTTATGTCACTTGTTAACCTTTAGGAAAACTCATGGTCGCTCGTACAATATTCGTCTCGGTCAAAATTTCTCAAAAAAGACCTAAAAAGTACTATTTATACTCTTCTAAAAAATTGACAAAATTATCCTCTTCGGGTCTTGCGTGGCCCAATATTTTATTTCTTCAGCTCTCAGTGCGTGGCCCACACAGGATGCGTGGCCATTTCCAGAACTTAAACTTTCAGCCTCCAAGTTCTCCAACCCGTGGGTGACCTGCGTGGGTGACTTGCGTGGCCCACATAGGATGGACTTTTGTTTCTTTAGCTTTCTTCTTCAGTTTTGGCCTGAATTTAATGGTTTTCTTGCAGGTATTTGATGATTTTCAATCTCTTAATTCTCACCCAACTCCATGACCTGCAATTATATCATTCAAAACATAATTAGTCTATTAGTCAGATCAACTGGGGCATAACTCTATTAAAAGGCATAAGAGAAGTGGGGAAAAATACCAACTTATCAAATCTTACTTCACCTTTATATTTCTTGTACAAGATAAAAAAAACACTATTCATCTATATTCTCCACTACAAAATTAGTTGGATAATGAACTTTTTAAAAATGGGTCAAATATGGATAAGAACCATATTATCCACTTAGAAATGGATAACCCATGGATAACTAATGGGTATAACTTTTACATTTACAAAGAGTCAAATTAAGAGTTTCTCAAGTTTGAGAGACTCGGAGTTCTCCCAAAAGTGATCCTATCTAACCCATTTTTTATTCGTATTAAATATGGGTCGGATCATATATTTTATCCGTTTTTACATTATCTATTTTCAATCCATATATATCCGACCCAACTCGCCCGTTTGGCACCCCGATACAGGATAAGCTTGCGTGCATTTATAATTCTTTTATAGTTTTATATTTTAGTTCAATTACTCGCTAATTTTGTCACAATGAAAATCTCACCACGCAAAATAAACTGCTTGCATGTACTGTCATAAATTCATAATAAGGCTATAAGCACTTGTATCTCTGCCCATGATCATGCATTTACCTTGAACGAAACATGCCAATGTTATTTCGGAAGGAAAAAACGTACGTATCTTCTCAGCTACCTTGACCTTGTAATATGGTTATCAATGTAATTAGGAGAAAGGCATTTATCTTTTTTGTACTTATTAATTTCTAGATACGTGCATTGCACGTGTATCCCATATATAATGTAGACGGTATAAATCATACTAAAACTGTAGTGTAATGACTAACAAAAAATTTGAAGTGAAAAAAATCAAAATCAACAATTAAACTTAAATATATAAGCATTTCGGATAAGATAAAAGCACTCA